GTTGTCCAATTGGGAAAAGACCAGTCTAGAAAAACCACTCTTAGCCGACCTAGGATAGAGCTAAACCAAATCCCTTCTTAGGGGCATGCATCACGCAACCTTAGGAGGCTTAATACCCTAGGTGTATTAAGTCCATTAGTTAGCCTTATCCAAATGTCCAAGCGGGTTTATAACCCCGAGTGACACTTATTCATCCTTTATGTGCATTTTTTGAAAGATAAACACACTGATTATGTGGACCACTTACTCCTAAATGGGGAAACGGGTAGGATTAATCTTTTCTGTGATGCAGGAAATTATGAATCAAGTTGTCTACCCAAAGATCGGCATGGTGTTGGACATCCCTCCCAAACTAAAGGCATGGTGGAGAAACTTAGGAGAAAGCGCACAATTCGAAGTGAGAAAGAAGCTGGGTCATCTACCGTTACTTATGGAAGTCACAGCGTGTAGGGAAATTATTGAGGCAGCAGTCACCTTTTGGGATGAAGAAAGGGCCGTATTCGGATTTGGAGAAAATGAGATGACTCCATTGTTGGAAGAGATTGGAGGCTTCATAGAGAATGCGAGTTTGTTATGGAAAGGCATACATTCTTGGCAGAACGCTGGCATGATTATTCCAAAAAATCCCTCGATAAAAGAGTTCCTTGAAAAGTTTGGTTTTGAGAAAGAAATTGGGCTAGAGCATTTGAAAGAATCCAAAATACCCCTTGACTATATGTTTGACATTTTTGGATGTTCAGGTGCTTTTCTACGACATCGAGAAGTATTCTCCTCACATGCTTCTTGGAGTGAAAAAAGGGTATTCGCTTTTTCAGTTTGTTTCCTCGGGCTCCTAGTATTTCCCCGAGGAGCAAAGCAGGAGATTCACACCCGACTTGTCATGGTTACTGATGCATTATTTAATGGCATTGATGGAAAGCCATACACCATAGTGCCGATGGTTGTCGCAGATATATACCGAGCTTTAGGCCTTTGCAAGAAAGGATTTAAACATTTTGAGGGATGTAATTTATTGCTACAGTTGTGGTTTATGGGGCATCTCCTAAAGATCAGTGGAAGCCAAGAGCTTTACAAGCAAAACGGTGCTAATCATATCACGTCATACATGATCCCAGTGGTTGCATTCAAGCATCTAAATAGTGTTAAAGGATGGGGCAAGTTACTTAGCAAGTTGAATGACACCACGATTCAATGGATGTTTTCTTGGTATCCTTCTGAGAATTTTGTAATCCGTGGAAAAATGCTACCTTACTTGGTTCTCATCGGGCTTCGAGGACTTCAACCATATGCTCCATTACGAGTTATGAGACAAGCCGGAAGAACGCAAGTCATACCGCAAGTTGATAACATGGAACATTATCGAATTGACTATGATAATGATAAAATTTCTTTTGCGAAGGAAATTCTTAAGATGTGGAGAAACAAGAGAGCTATGGTCAAGGATACAATTACACCGGATTGGTACCAAGCTGGATGTGACACTTTTTATTTAGAATGGTTACGTGCCAACCTTGAAGGTTCTGTCACAAGAGGGATTAATATGGGCGGCCGAATCAAAGATAAGGCAGCCGAAGCTGAAATCAAGTACCGCCGGCTGAAAAGAAGGGTGTCCGAGTCTGAAGCAAAGCACAAGGAGCAGCGTGAGAAGGAAAACAAAGAGATTGAAATGTTGAGACAACGAGAGGAGATGCAGAAGCAACAAATAAAAATGTGGAAACAACAGGCTATGGAAATGGAGCAAGGACTCAAAGATTTGGATGGTGACCTCGAGAAGCAATTCATAGAATGCTATTGCCAAGGACTGGACGAAGGAGGAAAGCTAGCCATGGTTTACCTTGTGAAGAATCGCCAGAAAATTGATGAGGCAATCAGAGCAGTGAAGAGGCTAAGGGGCAATGAAGAACCATCCTCAGTCAACTAGATTAGAACTATGTTGTAATCTTTATTTCAATTAAGGCTATGCCATTGTAATCGTTTTAGACTAAGGCAATGTTGGTATTTCTCTTTTAATTTATGTACTAAGCTGGAATCATCAATGAAAGTGATTTTTGGGGTGTCTAATTAAGGAGCAATGGAATGATATATAATGGTGTGTTTTATCTCTCAAATTTTTGCTAGGCCTACCTCTGGCACAAAGAGGTCCCATGCATACTAGGACATGCTTATCATTGCATGACTTATTTGTATTATTACGTGATTTGTTTGTTATGTGATATACTTGCTTTTAAATTTAATCACCACTTACTAACAATGTCTTTATTTCTTCTTAAAGGTTTTTCTATTTTTATCACTCCCCAAGGTTGATTTGTGTTGACTGCGAACTGGCTGAACACCCATACTTCACGAGATCCAAGGCACGAGCAGCTACCAACATGACTGGTTCAAACACATCTAATATGACAGGCTTGGGACTTGTCACCGTTCAACGAGACGAACCTGAGGCTTCGGACGGAAGGGAGGTTACCCTTCGTGATGAACACATCGCCCAGTTGTCGCAACAAGTGGCTAACCTGCAAGGTGAAATTGAACGGCTTCGGAACCTTACCAATCTTTCTATCAGCCTCAACACACCACTTCCCGAAGAAAGGACAAATGCACCTATCCCACCACCTTTCCCATCTTTTGACTCACCTATCCCGGAACATCTTCCACCAAACCCTCCACTTCACAACAACAAGCCAATATCCACTAACGCACATGCTAACCCGCAACAAGTCAACCCATCGACTTTTACCACATCATATGTTTCCCAACCACCACCAGCCCAAAGCACCCCGCTAACCCAAAATCACCATGTAACCCAACACATACCGATGGCACACGTCGCTATTCCTAACATGCAGCATGTTCCACCGGTATATGTAGCGGAAGCACAACCTTTTACTACCCCTATGCCTCACCAACTTCACTCCGAAGTGTATCAGTATCAGGAAGCAGAAAAAGAAGTAAGGGCCAAAGCCGACGAGTATATGGCGAAGGAGATCCGTGAGTTAAAGGAAGCATTCAAAAGTTTGAAAACCGTTAGGAGTATGGAAGGTTTGGAGTATGAGGATCTATGTGTTCATCCCGACGTCGATTTACCTACAGGATATAAAGTACCAAAATTTGACATGTTTGATGGAAAAGGAAACCCGCGAGCCCATTTGAGGTCGTATTGTGATAAGTTAGTTGGAGTGGGAAAGGATGAAGCTATCAGGATGAAGCTTTTTATAAGGAGTCTTACAGGGGAAGCCCTTGATTGGTACACAAGTCAAGATCCACAGAAATGGCACAGCTGGAGTGTCATGGCGCAAGAATTCATGGACAGATTCAGATTTAACACCGAGACCAACCCAGATAGATTCTATTTGATGACGTTGGAGAAGAAAACAACAGAATCCTTTAGAGAGTATGCCATGAGATGGAGGGCAGAAGCAGCAAGAGTCCAACCCCCGATGGGAGAGGATGAGATGACAACTACTTTTATTCGATCTCAAACGGATGCGACATACTATGAGAGATTGATAAGCATGCTGGGGCAGAAATTCTCGGAAGTTGTTAGGATGGGAGACGTTATAGAGGAAGGTCTCAAATCTGGAAAGATAACAAACTTGGCAGCACTACAAGCAACGAGTAAGGCAATCCAGTCAGGAACTATTGGAGGAGCAAGTAAGAAGAAGGAGAAAGAAGTATCCGCTGTTATGACCGTCCAAGACCGCAGGCCTAACCAAATGTTAACCTACCAAAACCCATTACCCCAACCTTCATACTATAGCCCATACACCCAAACTCCTCAACCTTATTACCAGCCTTCGCCCATTCCCTATCCTGTTTATAATACCCAACCAACCTATTATCCACCCCGAGCACCCACATACCAGAATCCATCACATTACCAACCCACATATCCATCTCAACCCCGCTACCAATCACAAAACCGCCCAAATGCACCTAGACCTCGCCCGAGCTTTAAAAGAAAACCAGCCAAAACCTATACACCCCTAGCTGAACCTTTAGCCCAGTTGTATGAAAGGTTGAAAGCCGCAGGAGTACTCCAACCAGTCCCAGGAAGAGTTCCCGACCCCCTCCCAGGATGGTATGATGGGACCAAACGTTGTGCATATCACTCTGGTGTGACTGGACATGACACAGAAAATTGCCTTACTCTCAAAGATAAGATTGAAGAGTTGATCAAATCAGGAACCATTCAGCTTAAGGGAGCTCCCCCGAATGTGAACAACAACCCTCTTCCAAATCACGATGATACCAGTATTAACATGATATCTACTGATGAGGATTGGAATTTGGAAGGAACAATTGTACCAATTGAAGACGAGAAAAAGGCTGTGTCATCTGCCTTCATTGCTCCTATCATCACAGTGCAAGTGCGAGCACCAATTGAGGTGGAAGTACTCCCTCCGAAGCCCAGGATCATGGCTCTAGTTGCTCAGACACCTTCATTTGAAACCAAAGCAGTTCCTTGGGACTACCAGTCTGATATAAGGAACAAAGGAAAGGCAAAATTAGTTGTAGAAGCTGCTGCTGCAGGTATGACGAGATTCGGTCGGTGTTATGTTCCTGAAGAAGCATCACGAGGAACTTCAAGTAAGGACAACAACCAGAAGAAGTCCGCGACAGAAGCTGAAGCAGAGGAGTTTTGGAGAAAAATGCAATGTAGCGGATACTCTGTTGTAGACCAACTAAAGAAGACGCCGGCTCAAATTTCCCTCATGTCATTATTGATGAGTTCCGACAGCCACAGGAATGCTTTGGTAAAAGTACTCAGTGAAGCATATGTACCAGCCGAGACAACTAGTGAACATTTGGAAACTATGGTAGCCCAAATTTTAGAAGCCCACAAGATTTCTTTTCACGAGGATGAATTGCCGCCTGAAGGTCTAAGTCACAACAAAGCTTTGCATCTCACTATCAAGTGCAGGGACAAATTTGTTTCTAGGGTTTTTATTGATAATGGTTATGCACTTAATATATGTCCTTTCACTACCCTCAAAGCTTTGGGAATTGACATTGGAAAAGTTCGTGAGAGTCATGTGAATGTTAGAGCTTTTGATGGAGCACAAAGGAGCGCTATTGGTGAAATTGATTTAGCATTACAAATCGGGCCTGTGGAGTTTATCATTGAATTTCAAGTGTTAGACATATCTGCTACTTATAATTTGTTGTTGGGAAGGCCGTGGATTCACATGGCTGGTGCAGTCCCTTCCACTTTGCACCAGAACGTGAAGTTTGTGTGGAATCACCAGGAAGTTGTGATTCATGGAGAAGCAAGCAATCCCATTTACCCCGGGAATTCAATCCCTATCATTGAAAGTGTGGAGAGGCTGGATGAGCCACTTTCCACATTGAAGAAATTATGATTGCTACTCGAGGCAAAGAGACAAAGTTTCCAAGTGTGTTCGTGATGGTGGCATCAGAAATGTTGAAGAATGGCTTCGAGCCTGGTCGAGGACTTGGAGCAAGGTTGCATGGAATAGTGGAGCCAATTCAGCTACCAGGGCAGAACAACACCTTTGGCCTAGGGTACGAACCCACTCCAAAAGAAGTCTCGGAGGCTCGTCTCAAGAAGAAAAGTGACATTGTCCTGCCACAGCCTATCCCGCCGCTAAGCCAGTCATTCCCCAAGACAGTTACTATTCATGAGCTAGATGAAGATGCTGAAGACGACCTTGTTGAAGGAATCAGGAACCTATTCCTTGCCGATTGCAATGTGATTCTGAATGATTGCACTGAGACACCAACTATTTGGGATGCCGCACCTGGAGATGTTTTGAACAATTGGACTTGTACCCCGTCCCCGGTTCGCCGGGAGTCTTGGTAGATCGATTGTATTAGTACTTTTTTTAAACAACACGATTCAAAATTGAGGCCTGAATCGTGTCTGTGATTTTTATGTTGTTTGCCTCGATCTTTTAAAAGCTTAAATGCAAAATCTGAATATGCTTTTTCGTTTTACATTTAAATTTTTTGTCTTTATTAATTTTCTTTCTTTTTATTTTATTTTATTTTTCAGCAAACAAATTAATAAAAATGCCGACACCGTGAATGTGACATGCAATGAAACAAGTGAACAAAATAACAAGCAAGATCTTGAAGAATATGAAGAAGACGTGCCGCCTGCAGAATTAACTAAAGAACTTGAGCAGTTTGAGAACAAGTCAAAACCAAATTTGGATGAAACAGAGCTTATAAATTTGGGGAATTCAGAGTCTATAAAAGAAACAAGAATTAGTGTCCATTTGATGCCATCAGAAAAGGAGAAATATGTGGATCTTCTGAGATAATACGTCGATGTGTTCGCTTGGTCGTATGACGACATGCCTGGTTTAAGCACTAATATTGTTTCCCATAAGTTGCCAACGGATCCATCTTGTCCCCCGATAAAGCAAAAAACAAGAAAATTCAAAACAGACTTAAGTTTGAAGATCAAAGAAGAAGTCTCCAAGCAATTTAAGGCAAATGTCATCCGAATCACGAAGTATCCCACATGGTTGGCCAATATAGTACCAGTACCAAAAAAGGATGGGAAGATCAGAATATGTGTGGATTATCGGGATCTCAACAAGGCTAGTCCAAAGGATGATTTCCCACTCTCGAGTATTCACATACTCATTGATAATTGTGCAAAGCATGAGTTACAGTCATTCGTTGATTGCTTTGCCGGTTACCACCAAATTTTGATGGATGAAGATGATGCTGAGAAGACAGCTTTTATCACACCTTGGGGGGTGTATTGTTATCGGGTGATGCCTTTTGGACTCAAGAATGCAGGTGCTACATACATGAGAGCTATGACAACTATTTTTCATGACATGATCCATAAAGAGATTGAGGTCTATGTGGACGATGTCATCATCAAGTCACGGAAGAGTTCAGATCACTTGGTAGACCTGAAGAAGTTCTTTGATAGGTTGTGGCGGTACAATTTGAAGCTGAATCCCGCAAAGTGTGCATTCGGAGTTCCAGCTGGAAAATTATTAGGTTTCATTGTCAGTAGAAGGGGCATAGAGTTGAATCCTTCAAAGATAAAGGCTATCCAAGACCTGCGACCTCAAAGAATCGGACGGACGTGATGAGCTTCCTTGGTCGCCTTAACTATATCAGCCGTTTCATAGCCCAATCAACAGTGATTTGTGAACCAATATTCAAGATGTTGAGCAAAGATGCCACTACCAAATGGACAGAGGAATGTCAACGAGCTTTTGATAGGATCAAGGAATATTTATCAAATCCACCGGTGCTGGTACCTCCGGAACCTGGAAGGCCGCTGTTGTTATACATGTCCGTATCAGATAATGCATTTGGATGTGTTTTGGGTCAGCATGATGAAATTGGGAGGAAGGAGCAAGCCATATATTACTTGAGCAAGAAGTTCACACCGTATGAAGCACGGTATACTTTGTTGGAATGCACTTGTTGTGCCTTAACCTGGGTTGCACAAAAGTTGAGGCATTACTTGTCAGCATACACCACTTATCTCATTTCCAGGATGGACCCGCTCAAGTGCATCTTTCAAAAACCTATGCCTACAGGAAAGCTGGCGAAGTGGCAGATTTTGCTAAGTGAGTTTGACATCGTGTATGTTACTCAGAAGGCCATCAAAGGACAAGCGTTAGCTGACCACCTTGCAGAAAATCCTGTGGATGAAGAATACAAGCCACTTAGGACGTACTTCCCAGATGAAGAAGTATTATTTGCTGGAGAAGACATTTCAGAAGCATATTCTGGTGGGAGAATGTTCTTTGACGGAGCGGCAAACTTCAAAGGAGTCGGAGTTGGAGCAGTATTAGTTTCAGAATCTGGACAGCATTATCCAATCTCAGCGAAAATTCGGTTTCCGTGCACCAACAACATGGCAGAATATGAGGCTTGTATACTTGGGCCCAGAATGGCCGTTGATATGAACATCCAAGAGTTATTGGTTATAGGTGATTCAGACTTGCTGATTCATTAAGTACAAGGCGAATGGAATACAAAGAATACGAAAATCCTACCGTACTTACATTGTGTAAAGGAGTTGTGTAAGAATTTTATCAAGGTGGACTTCAAGAATGTTCCAAGAGTTCAAAATGAGTTCGCAGATGCTTTGGCAACTTTGTCTTCCATGATTCAACATCCAGATAAGAACTACATAGACCCCATCAAGGTGAATGTGCAAGATCAACCAGCTTATTGTTTCCATGTGGATGAAGAGCCAGACGGGGAACCATGGTATTATGACATTAAGAGGTATCTCAAGACAAGGGATTACCCTGAAGGAGCAACCAGTACCCAGAAGAGAACGCTTAGGAGATTGGCAAATCGCTTTTTCCTAAACGGCGAAATCCTATATAGGAGGACCCCAGATTTAGGACGGTTGAGGTGTGTAGATGCTGGGGAAGCAACCAAGCTGATTGAAGAAATACACGCAGGAACATGTGGGCCTCACATGAATGGGTTTACTTTGGCAAAGAAAATTCTGCAAGCAGGTTACTTTTGGATGACCATGGAAACAGATTTCATTCGTTTTGTACAGAAATATCATCGGTGTCAGATTCACGGTGATTTGATTCGAGTCCCGCCAAATGACTCAATGTGACGAGTTCCCCTTGGTCGTTCGCAGCTTGGGGCATGGACGTCATTGGCCCTATTGAGCCTGCCACATCAAATGGGCAGAGATTTATCCTGGTAGCTATTGATTACTTTACAAAGTGGGTAGAAGCCTCTTCTTACAAGTCAGTTACAAAGAAGGTGGTAGCAGATTTTGTCCGTAACAACATCGTTTGCCGATTTGGAATTCCTGAGTCAATCATTACAGATAATAGAGCCAATCTCAATAGTGACTTGATGCGAGAAATATGTGATAAGTTCAAGATTACTCACCGAAATTCCACCCCCTATCGACCTCAGATGAATGGAGCCGTTGAAGCAGCCAACAAGAACATAAAGAAGATATTGCGGAAGATGATTGATAACTACAAGCATTGGCATGAGAAGCTACCATTTGCTCTCCTTGGATATCGAACTACAGTCAGAACATCAACTGGGGCAACGCCTTATCTTCTGGTCCATGGAACTGAAGCTGTATTACCTGCAGAAGTTGAAATACCATCTTTGAGGGTCATCCAGGAAGCCGAGCTGAGCAATGCAGAATGGGTGAAGAATCGATACGAACAACTAATGCTTATTGACGAGAAGAGAATGAATGCAGTTTGCCATAGTCAACTCTATCAAAATAGGATGGCCAGAGCCTTCAACAAGAAAGTGAAACCACGGCAGTTCAAACCGGGGCAATTGGTTTTGAAGCGCATATTCCCGCACCAAAATGAAGCCAAAGGAAAGTTTGCACCAAATTGGCAAGGTCCGTACATGGTGCTTCGGGTATTGACTGGAGGAGCACTGATTTTAGCAGAAATGGATGGTGAAGTATGGCCCAAGCCCATCAACGCAGATGCAGTCAAGAGATACTACGTCTAGAGGCATATCTGGCAACCTCTTCTTTTCTATGTAATGCTTCTTAATGTAAATGAACTACGTTTGACCTGATTCCCGTTTAAGAGGGGATACATAGGCAGCCCTGTGGGTTCGGTCTCATCATAATAAAATTTAATATTTCCCCCCAAGTTGGAAACTGGGGCAGCTTTTGAAGGCGTCGTCATGAGGAGGCATTAGTCATCGCCAAAGGAGGGTCAAGCAAGATGAATGACGGGATTCCAAATGAGGACGTTCACTTTGTTTCACGAGCATGTCACAATGCAGAATTCGGCAACAACTTTATTTTATAAAATTTATGCATATTTTATTTATTAAATAGGATTGTTTATTATAAAGTTTCTTAACTATTCGTTCCCCAAGATTCAGTGTTGGGCGGAGGCTACAAGTCCAAACAAAGTGGGAAGCGCAAGACTATCAAAGGCCAGAGCATCAAAGTCAACACGAATCAACCTTCCCTCCAAACTCACAATTTTTTCTTTGAGTGCAGATTTTCAAGATAGAGGAAGCAGAAGAATCAATAACGAATATAAATACTAATATTTACACTCAGTCATGCTATGATTTTATTGATTTCATAACTCATTTTTTTTACTCCTTTCGATTTTATAAATGATATTTTGAGCCGAGTATCTATTTTTTTTATTGTTTGCCCGAGGGACTTGAGTGAGTTCTTACAGAGTGAGGCCGATGGCCTGTGTTGTGAGGGTATCATGGGATCGGGTTGCGCGCCGCAGCAGGTTGTACTGATTTGTGACATATGAGAGGCCGAGGGCCCGATTTGTTATTCCACGAGACGTCTTGTGATAGCGCTTGGGCAGTAGGAGCCCCTCCGGAGTCTGTACACCCCCAGTGAGCGCAGGTACTCAGTGTGAGTGATGTGATATTG